CGACTGGAGATGACCACGGGCTGTTAGATGGTTCAATAATGCCATCGTCAAGCATCTCGCTGACTTGCGTACGTATCGCTTCACGTTCTTTGGCCGACACGCGGTAGGGGTTCTGGTGTATCGGGCGTGCATCCTCGTACGTGATGATCCCGAGTTGAGTGATGGACATCTGGCGGATCTTTGAGCAGCTTGCAAAGCAAGACCTGGACTCGAACAAGAGCGCTCGTAGCGCAGTCTGGTTAACGGTGGACAGGTCAGGATTGATGTCAATATTACTCATTGACGTGTCGGCAGTATCCACACATCCTGCACGTTGATTGCTCGCTGGGCTGAGAACGTGACGCGGCGCTCTTGCAGATCAATGATAGCTCCATTTTCCCTGTAGAAAGTCAACTCCCAGAATAACGTCACGGGAACATTCGCATAGAACAAGGCAGCTTGCTACGAATGTATACCCTTGAATCTGTACTCCAGTTGTGCAGGCACCCAGTGGAGTAAAGACGTTGCCACCAGCTGTTCGAATCTGCGAGTTATGCCACGGCGTTATGACTTTCTTCAGCTGCGTTGTCAGTTTCCCGCTCAGTATGGAATAGTCTGCGCCGGTGTCCACTAACGCATTAACTGCACAACCATCAATAGTCACTGCTATGTCGAGTGAAAGTCGGCCATCCTTTGCAGCAGTATGTGATGTCGGACCGGTTTCTGTAGAGAAGCCGCGAAGCCCAAGACGGCGATATGGGCACTGGCGGTACAAGTGATCAGCTTCTCCGCAGTAAAAGCACGGAGGCTGGCGATCAGGTGTGCGCCAAACATCAGACTTCCGAGGAGACGTGCGCCGATCGTCGATGTACTGAACTGGTTGTACTGAACGATGGGCGACAGAAGCACCAGAGACAAAGGCCAACGGGGGTGGCGTGTACGTGCCTTTGTGCTACGGTATGTGCTGCGCTGACTGTAGTGAAACAGCAGGAACAGGATGGACGAATAATGGCGGAGATGCAGCAGGGCGTTTCAAGGCTTCCGCATAGGTTGTCTCACGACGGTATTCAGCAGGAGCTGGCACAGCTGTATCAGGAGGCAAGGTGTCCCGGAGGGCCTGGTGCAGCTCATCCTTGATCACAGTTGCAATAGAGCTAACTGTAGGATGAGGTGTTACACCAGCCTTTTGTAACTCTTCACGTACTATATCACGGATGAGTTCACGTAGACAGTCGTTGTTGGTTCTAGTGGCGGTGAAAATGTCGGCAGTAGGCATGCCACTGACTTGCCTGTCGTATTGGTTGGATCGCTGCTGCAGCATTTTTTCCATTGTCACGGCCTCAGACAAGAACTCCGCAACCGTCTTTGGAGGGCTTCGCACGAGGCTGGCAAAAAAAGCTGGTCCTTGACACCGCGCATCAAGTGACGCAACTTCTTGTCCTCTGTCATTCTTGAATTGGCCAGTCGGAAGAGGCGCGTCATGTCTTCGACGTACGTGGTCACAGTTTCGTTTGGCAACTGGACGTGGGCCAGAATAGCTCGACCAGCTCGTTCTTGGCGATCAGCACTGGCATAGGTCTGCAGAAGTCTACGAGAGAATTCGGGCCACGTCGTCAGCTGCTCCTCTCGGTTTTGATACCACGTACGTGCCCCGTCTTCGAGATAGAAGTAGACACAACCCAGTTTCGCCGCGTTGTCCCACTGATTCAAGGTGGCTACGCGCTCGAAATCCACCAACCAGTCCTCAACGTCCTCGTGCTCCGAGCCATGGAACGTCGCCGGTGCGCGTGGGCTTTCCAACGTATAGCGGTTCCGACTTCGTGCTTCCCGTGCCGGTTGCCGAGGTTTGCACCGAAGCGCTGGTCATATTTGTCGACGTGGTGGGAGCAGTATCGTCGGCTTCCGGAGGCAATCCCCTGATTCGGCGGCTGGTCCGATGCACGGGAGTATCGACTGGCACTGGACTCGTATCGCGGCTTCCTGGGGGGGGGGGTCTGCAGCATCCGTGAGACTACCCAGCACCTCCACCAGTTTGTCACGATGAGTCACAATTACTGGGGGATTTATTAAACCACCAGGTAGCTAGCACTAGGACGATGCGTCAGTCGTGGCTGGCTCTCGAGCAGAGAAGAAGCGTGCGATCTTCTTTTTTCCTCCAGATTGAGAGCCGCTCTTGCTGTCAACCCACTACGTGTTGGTGGTAATACCATGTCTTCGCGACTCCGGTCAGATAAAAAGGCACGTAACGCAGTTTGGCGGCCTCGTCCCACCTATTAGCGGCACTTACACGGTCGTAGTCATCAAGCCAGTCTTCTACGTCTTCTCCCCAAACCATCGAAGAGCGGGGGTTCCCGCTGATGTCCGTGTATGTAAATAGGAGGGGCAGCTAGCAGCGGTGCGCGGTTGATGACATTCGCGCCGGCAGGCTTGGTCTGGGACATGCTGCCTGACTGTGGGCGCAAGCGGCGGCCTGAACGAAGCTCCAGGGGGTATAGCGGGCTGCGGGAGATCAGAGGACCGAAAATCCACCTCTACCACGTATGAAGTCTTGGTGGTCTTGGCTGCGTCAGCGTTTATTTGAGGAAAGACCTCGCGAAACGAACGGGCAGAGCCAGTACACAGACGATGACGATGACGACCCAGAGTGGCAATGAGGACAAAGAGACAAGCGGATGATGGTGATTGTGATCATGCAGGGATGAGGACGATGTAAGTAACAAATGCCCACAATATAAACATCCTGGAATAAATCTACAGGGGATCAACTGCTACCACAGTGTTTCATAAAGAAATCAACAGAATACCAATCAAGAAGGGTGTAAGGCAGGGGGACACAATCTCCCAATGCTATTTACCGCGTGCTTACAGGAGGTTTTCAGAAGCCTAGAATGGGAACAGTTAGGGGTAATAGTTAATGGAGAGTGCCTCAATAACCTACGCTTCATCAATGACATTGCATTGCTGAGTAACTCAGGGGACGAATTGCAACTCATGCTTGCGGAGTTAGACAGAGGAGAGCAGGAAAGTGGGTCTTAAAATTAATCTGCAAAAAACGAAAGTAATGTACAACAACCTCGGAAGAGAGCAGCGCTTCGAGGTAGGTAATAGTGCACTTCAAGTTGTAAAAGACTATGTCTACTTAGGGCAGGTAATAACCGCGGAGCCAAACCACGAGATTGAAGTAACTAGAAGAATAAGAATGGGGCGGAGCACATTTGGCAAGCACTCTCAAATTATGACAGGTGGATTGCCACTATCCCTTAAGAGGAAGGTATATAACAGCTGTACCTTGCCAATACTTAGCTATGGAGCAGAAACCTGGAGACTTACAAAGAGCGTTCAGCTTAAATTGAGGACGACGCGGCGAGCAATGGAAAGAAAAATGGTAGGTGTAACCTTAAGAGACAAGAAAAGAGCAGAGTGGATTAGAGAACAGACGGGGGTTAAGGATATCATAGTTGAAATCAAGAAGGGAAAATGGACATGGGCCGGGCATGTAGCGCGTAGACAGGATAACCACTGGTCATTAAGGGTAACTAACTGAATTCCCAGAGAAGGCAAGCGAGTTAAGGGGAGACAGAAAGTTAGGTGGGCAGATGAGATTAAGAAGTTTGCGGGTATAAATTGGCAGTAGCAAGCATAGGACCAGGTTAACTGGCGGAACATGGGAGAGGCCTTTGTCCTGCAGTGGACGTAGTCAGGCTGATGATGATGATAATGTGAAATGTGAGCCAGAAGCCCAAGGATGCTCTCAAAGCGTCATTATGGCATAGCAGACAATGTTGGCGCCATCAACTTCTACATTGCAGCTGCCTCCTGCTCATTCAGCTAGCTGCTCCCTAAACATTCTCTCCTCTGCAGAATTAGTTTTTTGTTTTCTTTTTATACACTTGGAAGTATCTTTCATACTTACTTATGGAGGTTAAGGCTGCTCTGCATACAGGCCAGGTGAAATCAAATCTACAATTGCACAAATTTCTGGCAAGTGAATAACCAAGCAGCCCTTCGACAAACCCTGCTGCAAGTGAATCGGTTTCACTGTGATGGCATCATTGTTTATGAGTCAAATGCGCAGGCACACAAGCAGCAGATACACTGGTATGCAACATGTGTGATATGGTTTGCACTGTGTGTAGTTCCACCACAAATTTATAGTGCATAGAAGCTTTCTGGAGTTGAATGAATAAATCTAGTTAACCACGCAACCCTACTGCTTGTGTGATCAAAGCATACTTGTGAAGCCTCTACTTGTTTTGTGGCTGAAGGAGTTGCATCATTTTGTTGATGGCATACAGAAAATGCAGCTTGACTTAAACATTGCTACGTCTCATTCCCAGCTATCAACATTGTCATGAATGTTCATCCGCATGAGATCTGTAGTAAATTTTTTGTAGCTTCACGCTAAAACAGGTAGATGACAACGTCTTCTTTCAGAAGACTAAGCCCGCATTTCAATTAACACTGCTGCACTGCTGGTTCAATGGCCCGACAGAGGAAACACCTCATAGTGTGGTCGCAAAAGATGCCCCAGGATTGCTTTATTAAAGCCACAGCAATTACATGGACACACTCAGTAGATTTTTGCCATCGCCGTCATGTCCCAGATATGAATATGTGCATATATATATCTTTATATATATATGTATAAAGCACACAAATGAAAAATAAATCAGAAGAAAACAGTTCGAAACGAGCAAGTCGTTGCTCCGCAGCACACTCTGTTAGACAATACAACCATACTAATGAATAAAAACATACTAATCCACTGTGCTTCGCCAAGGGAAGATACAAAAGCTTAACTATTATAGTTTTTCAAGAAAAAAAATTTGTACTGCTTAAAAAAACACCCCGCACATACTTATATGACCCAAGAACATAACGAATGTAAAGCTTGCATTTTGAATTAAGATTTTTCCTATATTGCATTGTTTATGACCCCTGCCCTCTAGCCTTGAGAGCATGAACAATTAAATAATTATAAACAGTTGCGACCTTTATTAGGCATCATTGCCTAGGCTCACCTCAGTGGTCTTGGCTTTCTTTGCCTGCCGCGCAGTTGCTGTGGAGTCCTTGTCTGCGTTGCACAGTGCCAGTACCACGGGCAAGGTCTGGTACGGGTGGTCACGCACCACACGCTCTATCAGCTGCAAAAGAACAAGTACAGTGCTGACCGCTTATAATGCAGGACCAGTTAACAATGTGGCCTCTTTCGACTTCCGTTTACCCTTCCATATAACCGCATGCTTATGCATACCGCTTATTACATAGTCTTCTAATATTAAAGACCGGTTGCAATGTGGTTGCCGAAAGATATCTGTGACAAATGTGGTTGCGAGTACCCTTCTGAAAAACTGGTGCGCTGAGAAAGCAAGCAATGAGGTCATCATGGAGGAGGAGGAGACACACGAACAAAGGGCAGAGAGAGAAAAGGAATAAAGGCTGCAGCATGCTGTTAGGACTCGCCCAGTGAGGGAGGAGGGCTGTTGCCTAGGCGACGGACAAGCCTTTGCATTGGCTCCAACATGGCTACAGTCTGCTAGTGTCACCAGCATGGCTCTGGCCGCTTCCTTCCAGCCGCATGCGGCTCGACATGGCACGTGCAATCCCATCCTTATCAGCTGCACTCAAGAGCTTCATCATAGATTCTCTTTCTTAATAGTTTCCTTATGAGAAAAGCGTCATCGTTATCGAGCTTGCTACAACAGATACTGCATGTGCTACTTCGTCCGTAAATTTAAAACTTTTATGGCTTTTTTACACGAGCTTTCGCCTTTTCTGCCAGTGCGCGGTCTTACCTGAGCTTGGTGGGTTTTTGTCATTGTTTACCTCCCAGCCGTCAATGCAAACTCCATATCACGCACACTGTATTTTGGTTCGTTCAGTTCTTGAGTGCAATCTTTCTGGCACCTGATCCTCATGTCTTGGTCAAACTTCCCACAACAATATGCCGAATGACAGGCTAGGCCTAATCAGTGTTGGTTGCATTTTGGTAACAATTGATTTGATTGATTGATTGATACGTGGGGTTTAACGTCCGAAAACCACCATATGATTATGAGAGACGCCGTAGTGGAGGGCTCCGGAAATTTCGATTACCTGGGTTTCTTTAACGTGCACCCAAATTTGAGCACACTGGGCCTACACCATTTCCGCCTCCGTCAGAAATGCAGCCGCCGCAGCCGGGATTCGAACCCGCGACCTGCGAGTCAGCAGCCGAGTACCTTAGCCACTAGACCACCACGGCGGGGCACATTTTGGTAACAGTCCCATGCTATCTGGGTTGCAGTTTGGTACGGAATCAATGAAACTCTTTGCGGTGGCTGCACACGAAGGGAAGGAATAGATTTCGTAAAAGAAAACTAGGGTGACACGTGTAGTACTCTAATGATTGTTCATGATTCAATTCCAATGTCTTGAAATCGGGTGCGCGCTCGCAAAACTGAACCATTGGTGTCTTTTAGCAAGGGAAATTTCGGATGTGACTTGAATCGACAGTTTCTGTGTAATGCACATAACCGAGGCATTCTGAGAAATTTTCACGATGGTGCTTCTTTTTATTAGACCCCCCCCCCCCCCCCTTTCCATTCGCATTCATTTTGTTGGCAACGTAGGTCCTTGAACGTTATATATTTTTTTTTTAACATTAAAAAATTTAAATGGCTGTAAGCACCATGCATCGCATGCTTCCATTTTCGGGTACGCGAGGCTGCGTGCTCAACATGCTTTGTGCAACTCGTATCGAAGTGAATTCGAATATTGTAGTATTCATTTGAAGACTTAAAGCATTCGAATGTTCGCACAAGCCAAGTTTTGACCAACCACTGATAAATGAATACAATATAGACTCAATTGGTGTGTTTTAGCATTTGTAAGAGATTATTTGAGAACTACAGCTCTGCCGAGGACAAGACGCCAAAGCAGAGAAAGACCGGGAAAGTGCCGCTTTCAACCTCAATGCAGTTGTTTTCAAACGACATGGATGAGAAATGCAATGAAATATTTTTACAGTATCATGCCCTAGGCAATGAAAATTTATGTATGGATCAGCTACTGTATGAAACTAGACTTGTGCAAATATTTGAATGCTTCGAATATTCAAAAGAATACTAAAGCATTCGAATTTCTTTTCATTTAGAATTAAAACTATTGAAAGTTTCGAACTATTCATATAGAACGAATAGATTAATATTAGTTCACATTTAACCTTCTGCAAAGGTGGTTTCACTGCATTGTATAAGTGCTAAGCATTGAAAGCATTTATCCAGAAAAAATCTGCACTGCCGCGAAGCCCCATTTTAAAATTAAAAGGGCCCGGCAACACTTTTCGGAGCATGGTCAGAAAACGCTGCCGATAGGTTGACGAGGCTACCGACAACACGCGAGCCAATTATGATAGCACAGCACACGGCCAGAAATTCATAATAAGTTATCAAAGTCAACTAAAAATTGCTTTCTATTTTCTCGTCACATGATGCTACAAGCTTAAAAATCGCTTGTCACAGCCATTGGCTCATTTGAGCATGGCACTCAGTAGTTACTGGGGCCGTGGGAGGCCGCAACTTGTCCACACATGCATGCACGATCGCGCTGAAAAGCCGCGTATTCGAAGGAAGAAAAAAAAAAGAGAGAGAGAAAGTGCTTTAGGTCCTGAGGCTCACGCGACGTATTCTCTTTCTCCATGCCATCTCTCTCCAGCGCTTTTGTCAGGACGAGAGATCAGAAATGACGAGTGTCACCAGTCATGCCAGCAAAAAGACTTGAAGTCGTTGCGTTGATCGCGTAGCACAAGCGGGAAGCGGACGATTACACGCACGAGACGGAAGAAAGCCAGCGGCCGACAAACAACTACAAAAAAAAAATTCGCAGCCTCATTGGCCGCATCAGCCAATGGTAAGCGAGAGACGGAGGGCTCGCCTGGCGCACACCTGCTCCGGCCAATGAGTGATCGGGAAGGGGGCTTCAGAAAAGAGGCGAGGGCAGCCATTCCTTTCAAGTGACACCATTTTGAAAGGTGGCAAAACGCGCACAAAGAAATCAGCTTAAGAACAAGCTCACGATGGCGGCGACCAACCGGCCGTTTCGCCAGCAGTGTGCGTGCAATGTTCGAACAAATTTTCCCTTTCATGGGGCTTTTCGCAACTCTGTAGCGACTTTATAGCAAATTTTAATCCATTTACCGATCGAATTTAGTGTTCACAATTTCAGAATATGTGCGCATAGGAATAAAGATTCGAAAAATAAACTTTTTGGTTTAGTTTTCACCATTCTAAGGCTTGCGTCCCCCCTTAGGGGTTTTCCAACTTTCGGTAACGGCAAAGACCGGTTGATTAGTCATAACGACTTTCCAGCGGCCGCGGCTTTGCCTTAATGAATAAGCATAAAAAAGAGCGATAGTTAGGTGGCCGGTGGCGATGAACGTGCCATTTTGACTCACTGCAGGTGAGCTTATCGCAGTCATTTACAGATAACTGCTCTGTGGAGTGACGGTGGTACAAGCACGTCCTGGTGCTGTTCGCATGTTCGCCGTCGCCGTGTCGTGCAAGGCCGCTTGCGCACGTTCCTCACGAAAACCGAACAGGCTACCTGCCGCACCCTAGTACGATTTCGAGTGAAACATGCGCGAAGAACTCACAAACGCGAGCATACATTGGACTGGAAGTGAACTGGCATGCGACGGCGAGAGTAAGCGACATACCGCACGCAACTAGCCAGGGATGACTGGTTCGACGTCAGTAGATCGTGATTCAGTGGAACGGCATTAGTTAACTGCGAACCAACGTCCTTCAACACGCGAAAAGGCTTAACTTGTCAGCGGAGGGATTGTTGGCCCTTCTTAATAAAAATTACACACATGAAAAAAAACATTTTGGCCACTATGTGGCCGTTTTCATGGGCGACTCCATATACAACGAACTGCTGATATAACGACCAATTCTCGGGGCACTTTCGAGTTTGTTATAAATGGGTTTGACTGTATTCATGAATCTGTCTTGTTGGTATCTTTTATCCTGTTACTATTTTTGGGCCCTTATGACGCATGCATTGTGTGCAGAAACTTCAGGAAAACTTGAGGTGAGGCTAAGGTTGGTTAGTAAATACGAGACTAAGTATAGTAAATTTCAAAATTTTACATATTTTACAGATTATCACTGGCATTCTACAGAAGGCCAAGTCCAGTGACTACTCAAGGTTGTTCAGACTTCTTTAGAAAAAAAAAAAAGGCATTTGCAGAGAGGCCTCATTTTAATTTTTAAAGAATATTGTGCAGGTTAGTTCAGTTATTTTATATACACACACACGCACGCATATGCATACACACACACACGCACGCACACGCATACACACACGCACACACACACACTATTCGAATTTGATTTGAAATTATTCGACCAAGATAACTATTTGCTTCGAATTCATTTCGAACCTGACCTGAATTCACTATTCGCACAAGCCTATATGAAGCACCTTCAGATGTGGCACAATGTTGCAACAGCACATTTGGATAATTGAAATCTGTTTGAGAAACCCTCGTGAAAACATCAAAAATTGGGCTTCATACCGAACTCACCTGAAAGAGGAGTTGTGGAAAGGTGCTTCCATCTGGCTGACTCATGCGAGCAGCCAATTGGTAGAAGAGAGGCACAAACTTGTGGCTTTCCAGTTTGCTGAGGCCATGCTGCATGAAATGGCATTGTCAGTGCAGACAGAAATAAGCATGAGAGAACACAGCAAGCTTTAATAATGAAAAAGCTGGTTTAAAAGAAACAATGAATAGAAAGGCCTCACATAATGTCTGCTGCAGATTTTAACACGAAACAGTTTCATGCCAGGCTCCACCACTAAAAGCGTTCTTTGAGTACCAATCACAAAATCAGCAGGCTCATTTTTCCTTGAATTTCTATAAAATGCCACTACATTACCATTCGCTGTTAAGCTACGTGTTTCTATGGCAATCACTTTGAAACTGTTCTATGTGGCCACCTGCTTTGATTGTAGGGTACAAGCTATGCTCGAGTTTAAAGAGCAAGTTTACAACTTGAAATCAGGGATGCCATTGGGGGTAACCAGAAAGAGGCAAGTGGCATAGCAGACTAACACATAAGGTGCTTTTTTTAGGCAAGATTAATTTTTTATGAAAATGCTGCGAGAGTCAGGCACCTTCCATTTTTGCATATGTACTCTATGGTGAGATGAAAACACTTCGTCGAAAGACCTACCTTTCTGCTCTCCTTGTCTAATTCAGTAATCATGACAATCGACCCCATTAATACTAGTATCAATCAGGTGATAGAGAAATGCTCAGAATACAACCTACCACTCTACATATGCCTTCATAGATAACAAGAAGGCTTGATTCAGTAGAGATATTAGCAGTCATGCAGACACTGCAGAATAAGGGCGTCGAAAAAGCATATATTGCCACGTGCATTTCTTATTTGTTTGACTTGATTTTCACACACAAAGCAGAGGTCAGGAATGCTCAGTGCAAACTGCGCCTCACTGTTCGAGAAGGTTCGCGATCATTGTAGATTATTAGGTTAAGATTGTCTGCAAATTCTGGACACTCGAGATTTTTACAAAAAGTGCGCAAAGAGTAGTAATAAGGCTGGAATATTCGACGGCACATGTATAAATTGCACTTGTCAGTTGATCGACAGCCGACACTCTGTTTGCCACTATCAGTGCCCTGCCGTAATCTGACTTTCCTTTTACGTGGCCACAAGTTCAACTCAATAAACAGTTTGACCTGAACACTCAGTCTGCTCTCTTCGTCTCCGTCACGACCCCGTGACACATATACATATATAGAAAAACATCTTGGAAGAAATCCACAGTGGATCAACTGCCACCATAGTGCTTTATAAAGAAAGTGACAGAATACCAGTAAAGAAAAGTGTAACACAAGGAGATATGGTATTCCAAACGCTATTTACTGTGTGCTTACAGGAGGTTTTCAGAGGCCTAGAAAGGAAGAGTTAGGGATAAAAGTTGATGGAGAGTACCTTAGTAACCTGCTCTCTGCCGATTACATTGCATTGCTGAGTAACTCAGATGATGAATTGCAATTCTGTGGCTTACATGGTATAAATAAAATAAAACTTTATTAGTCTTGATAATAATTTGATAAACCATGTTCTTCTGTGCCCAACCTTTTCTGAATTTGCACAACTTTGCCAAGGCTTCCCTTCAGGTTCACCAATCCTTGGTGTTCATCATAGTAAAGCCATGCTGATTTCTTCATCAGCTCTATTCCCTTTTGAGAAATTGGTCAGCGCCTCTGGTGACCAACCATTGTTAGCACACTGCAATGGCTAGTGCTCAGAGGCAGCTTTTAGCTTCTGCACTAGTAGTGATCAAGTGACTCAGCCAGGCATTGTAAGCAGTCTAACATGGATTTTGGTTGCAACACTGATTGCTTTTTTCTAACTGCTCAGTTATTGGGATTGTCTTTACCACTCTTGAGTGAAAATGAATCACATCTCTCCACTGTACTTACAAGTGCACTGATATTCTAATGAAATGAAAAATTGCTGATTAGACCCTTTAGTCGCATGATGATAATATTAGCACCTTAAGCAAGGAATTGACCTCGGGCACAGCGGCATTAGTGACCCAGAGAGAGACAAGCCGGAACAAACGCAGGTCATGCCCTCCCCGCAGGCACTGCAAGTAGTTGCCGATGGCTTGGAGGAGGTGCCGCTTCTGCGCCGCTTTCAGGTTGGCTTCCTCGCCTCGGTCCAGATTGCTCTGGCGTTCCAGCAGCCGCATGGCATGGGCCTCTTCCCTGCAGAGTGGGGAGCTCAATTCCTTTAATGCACTGCTTTACAACTACAACAGATGAGATAACGTACAACTATACATGAAAACAAAACGCAGTTTTTGAGACAACCACAAAATCGCTGAGTATGTCTCGGTGTTCCGTTGCACACACGCGGTGTCATATAGTAGAGCTTGAATCACTCTGCACAGCTAGCTTCCTTGCCACCCATGGCAGAATAAAGCAGGCTCACTCTGCCTGGGAAGCGCCAGTGGGAAGTACCATTTGTTTGATTGATGATTGATATGTGAGGTTTAATGTCCCAAAACCACCATATGATTATGAGAGACGCCGAAGTGGAGGGCTCCGGAAATTTCGACCACCTGGGGTTCTTTAACGTGCACCCAAATCTGAGTACACGGGCCTACAACATTTCCGCCTCCATCGGAAATGCAGCCGCCGCAGGAAGTACCATTTGTCGTCAACCATATGTAACTAACGAGTAGAGCTATGAGAGGGCACAAAGTTTATATTGTTGCGTCGTCATGACATGGGCAAAGGGAGACTTCAGCGTCTTCAAAGTGAAAATTTCCGTTTCGCTACCAAAAGGCCGACCTTTTGGTAGCGAAACGGAAACTAAAATTACAGCAAGCGATGCATGCTGTACGCTAATATCAGAGCATGAAGCGTCACCTGTTGAAAAACTGATCATCGTTGGGATGCGACGTCTTTTATACACCATGCATCAAGCTTTCCAGCCTTCTCACTGGTAGTTGTGCAAGCTTTCAAATAAGCTTGAGTGTTTGCATTTTTATGCAATCTTAACAAAATGATGTACTATTACAATCGTGAAGCTTCTCAGACACAGAGGTGCGGTCTGCTGCGAGCATTGCTCACAGTATTTGTGGGCGTAAATCAAATACAGTAAAATCAAAACAATAGATGCGTGGGGCTATATACAGCTTCAGAGCACTAGTCCATAGTATTTCAGATAAGCTCCATCTGCACGAGCCTATCAGGTTGTTTGCCCCATGAGACATAGTCACTTAGCGATGCAGGGGGAGGGGCATTCGCTCACTCGGTGAGGTGATGGTGCCATCTCTAGTGCCCCACCAGAGCAAGTCCCATGTTTCTGAAATGTTTTAGTGATATATTAGGTTAATTAACTCAAATACATCTTTACTATTTCTGGTAATTATAATATTTTAGATCCTTTTTGTTCATTTACACCCAGGTTTGAGCATTGCTAGCCTTGTTATGACCTGTGCCTTACTGTGAGCGGGATCGTGCCACATGAAATAGAAGGATGGAAAGCTGGGATACTAACGTGCTCCACAAGTAGAAAGACTTTACCATTATTGCTAGTTATTCATCAAGAAAGTTGAGCTTCCAGACTATAGGCCTCGTAGCAAACTGTCAAAAATGAAGGTCTTGTGCACCCGCGGCATCGCTGTACTACGGAAAGGCAGAGTATAATGAGAAAAGGCACACCGGTGAAAAAAGCGAGAATAGAGGGCGTTGCTGGCAATACGGAAAATATGTTATTATGTTCGTTGTCAGACCGAGCCTATTTTGGGCTAGAGACACTCCATGGCCAAGTAAGTACTAACTAGGTGGAGCAATGAACTTCGGCGCAGTTGGGGTAAGCAGCGCTTAAATGGGAACATCTTCACAAAACTGCAGAAACGAGGAGACAGAAAGAAACACACAGGAAAGAGACGCTTCTTTCCAGTGCATTTCTTTTTGTCTTCTCGTTTTTGCACTGTTTTGCGAAGATGAAGCTGTGCCAACAAGCTCGAACCCATACACGTTTAAAGAATGGGCATATTGGAGCACAATTGATTGATATGTGGGGTTTAACGTCCCAAAACCACTATATGATTATGAGAGATGACGTAGTGGAGGGCTCCGGAAATTTGGACCACCTGGGGTTCTTTAACGTGCACCCAAATCTGAGCACACGGGCCTACAACATTTCCGCCTCCATCGGAAATGCAGCCGCCGCAGCGATATTGGAGCACAATTGTGGCACAGCTGGACTATCACTGAGGATGAAGACAGGAGAGAAGAGCACGAAGCATCTTTAAAGGCATGAGCACATGCATGTAATCAAAAGGAGAAGCATGACCCAAGCTGTAATCAAATGGAAAACAGCCCTGAACTTTGTGGGGGTGCTGACACCCCGTGTCTCATACAGAAGCCGTATTTCGGTGGTAACAACCGCCGGATGATAGATGGCGTTGTGTTCGCGTTGAGTACCACTATTGGTAATGTGGTAGCGCCGGCGATGACCCCTGGCGGAAGGCAGGCCTTGGTGGCGGGCGAGAGTTGAGCGAGTCTTTTCTGCGCGTGGCAGCTGCCGCGAACGGTTGTCTCTCGTGGTGGGTCTGCCGTGAACGGCACCACGGGCTGCCTGCGATAGGCCCACGTCAAGCGTTGGCGCCGCCGCCTTGGGTGTGTTAGTGTGTTTGTCCTGCTGTGTGTTTGTCGTGTTATTGTGTAGCGATGTCCTGGCGTATTACATATCGAGTTATGTATCAATTCGGCGGACAATATCGTCCTTCATAAATTAGTCAAATAAATGTATGTGGTTGGTTTGTACCGACCGCGTCTGCTGTGTCCGTTCACTCTAAGAGCGTGGCGTGGCGCTCGTTCGCCACGTCGAGACCCCACACTGGCTGCCCAACGTGGAGCTCTTGGAGTATCGGACGACAGCTTTTGCAGTTCGGTACAAGCTTTTGTTAGCACCGGAATAGAGTAGGCTTAGGGGGACTTGTTTGCTAGCATCGGCAATGTGCTCTGTTGAGAAGCGAGGCGATTGATTTTGTGACGTGTTTGTTATTATTTTTTTGCTCGCAAGTGTTATTCTGTTTTATTGGGGTTTAGTTTTCAAAAACGTTGAATTAGAACGAGAGCCATGCGGTCCATATCCTGGGGTGAGCAAGGCCTAGAGCACGTGGTTTGTAGGCAGACCCGAAGCGAGTGAGTACGGAACCCTCGTGGGTGGTCCGATTTTCTGTAAATAGCTTTTTCAATCTCTTTGGGATCAGGGAGCCGGGCGACGTTGCTGCCTTGTATTGCGGCTCGACGCCGTGGCGTCGTGACACTGCCCGGGGCGGTGGACGCCGATCGCTTGGTAAGCTGCTGTGTGGCAAGCGATAGGGCCACCTCACAGAGTGGATGTTTCCTCGAGGCTGCCTCTTCTGCGTGTAGGCTGGGGGCTGGGTGGATGCCAGTTGTTGTCGAGTGGCTCATTAGGCCTAAAGCTCTGCACAGCCGCCTGTCGCACGTGGCACAACTAGGTGGATCGTGGCGTTGAGGTGTTGCGCTCTGCTTTCCTCACTTTTTTTTTAATCTTGCGATGCACGAGCTAGCAAAAAGTGATTTTTGTTTTATTTTGATGGGTGTCTCGGCCGCCGTCGATGTATTAGCTAGCAGTACTGACCATCGTACCACGTGGTCGAAAGGCCTGAAGCTCCCTTTCCTAGGCCTTCTCCATTGTTCTTTCGAGTTTTTTTATGTATTCAGCGGGAGAGATGTAACCCACGGCCGCCTGTCTTCTGCACATCGTCAGCATCGCTGGCCAGGAATGCGGTCGTGAGGTCGGGCGATGGAGATGCCTGGTACCTGCACAATTATCTGCAGTCCGGCACCTCGTGAGTGCTGGTCGCAACGGGAAGACATTTCGGCGCTAGCGACAGTTCGTCGCGCCGACGGCAACGTTGCTGTTGCGGGGCCCGTACTGAGGTGAAGTCGAGCCGGACAGTGCAGCAGTGTAGACCAGCGGAGGTGTCATGGTGCAAAGACATTACGGGCATACGATGTAATTTTTTTTGTTAAAGCTTGTGTAACTGATCTCTTTGTTTTCGGAGTATGGTTTGATTTAAGGTTGGGGGAATGTGGGGGTGCTGACACCCCGTGTAAGGTTGTTTGTGCCACATGGCGCATATGTCTCGCACAGAAGCCGTATTTCAGGGATGACAACTGCCGGACGATAGATGGCGTTGTGTTCGCGTTGAGTACCACTGTTGGTAGAGTGGAAGCGCCGGCGGTGACCCCTGGCGGAAGGCAGGCCTTGGTGGCGGGCGAGAGTTGAGCGAGTCTTTTCTGCGCGTGGCGGCTGTTGCGAACGGTTGTCTCTCGCAGTGGGTCTGCCGTGAATGGCCCCGCAGGCTGCCTGCGGTAGGCCCACGTCAAGCGTAGGCGACACCGCCTTGGGTGTGTTAGTGTGTTTGTCCTGTTGTGTGTTAGTGTGTTTGTTCTGTTGTGTGTTTGTCGTGTTATTGTGTAGCGATGTCCTGGTGTATTACATAACGAGTTATGTATCAATTCAGTGAACGATATCGTCGTTGTAAATTAGTTAAATAAATGTATGTTGTTTGGTTTGTACTGACTGCGTCTGCTGTGTCCGTTGCTTCTACTTTCCTTGAACTAAAAGAAAGAAGGACAACTGCTCATGCCCTGTTTCATTATAAAAAACATTGTGCAAGTTAGTTGGGTGATGACAAATATGTTCATTTTTTTCTATAACATATGAAATATATGATACAAATTTGATTCAAAATTATCCAAACCGAATCATTATTCATTTCGAATTCACTTCAAACATTTAATTTATTACTTTCACAACCTCACTTTTTTACGCTTTTGCAAATAGTGAATTTCAAGTTCAAAGCAAATTCGAAGCAAATAGTGATTTAGTTCACAAATATTTTCACAATGAATTTGAATAATATATATAACAACCTTATAAAGAAAAATTTGCATATTTGTCATAACCCATATTATCTGCACAATATTTCACAAAAGTATGAAGCTGGTCATGTTGGTGATGCATAACTGATGCCGTAGAGCGAAAATTTGACACTGGACAAGAATTTAACATCGTCCCTTCTCTTGTCCAGTGTCAAATTTTTGTGCGACGTGATCAGTTCTGCATGACATATTGTCACAAAGGCACAGAGACGCAGGCACAAAAGCAGGGCGTTTACTTTCGTGACCAAGGGCCAAAAGCACGAACACCAGAG